CACTGCTGTACATAATCATGAGTTTTAGGCTCCTTACAGAATGGGACTGCTGTCACATAAGTGATAAGCTAGTACAAGTTGGACAGTAAATAGGCAGTAATATGCAAGTTTGAGCTTTCACCCTGTTGAGGAGAGGAGATGGGCTTCTTACCCAAAACCACTACTTGATGTTTGATACATTAGCAAATGCAAATAGCAAGTTCTTGCTACTAAATAAATAATTGATACTAGTTGTGCAACCCAATAGCAGTGATCATTTAATATGTTAGTTACCTTATTTTCTTTATACTGTACAGACCTTGCAGATAAACATAGTTACATACTAGTAGACAGTGCAGCAGATTTACTTTATTTAGGATGTCTAGCTGATACTAATTTGCAGCCCCCAACCTTGGTTAGGCTTTTAAATTAGGGCCAAAACATCCAAACAGTCACATAATACAGAATCAATACAAAAATCAACTGTGGACATATTTTTATACAGTACAAGTGTCTATATATAATAACGTATACCTGATTATGACATAAAAGTGACATAAAAAATTGACAAACGTGTGATAGTGTATGTGATTGTATGGGCACAATATGTAGGAATATACAATGTATTCCAAATTATTATGCAAGTGCCATTATTATTTTTCCAAAACAGTCATCACACTTAAAGTCCCCATGACATGCTCATTTTGCTCATTTCCAGCCATTTAATGTTTAATCTAGGGTACCACTAGATTAGCTTGGAACCCCTCTTAACTCCAAATAGTATGTAATTGTTTCAGAATCACAGAGCCAAAAAGCCCGTTCCTTAAAACGAGAGGACAGTTTGTGAACGCACACAGTTCCTGTTGCCAGTGTTATGTCACAAGTGGACAGCACAACGAACCGCAACTGCATTAATTAATATGAATTTCTCCTCCATAGATAGGTAAACAGCGGTAATATGTACTGATGAGAAGAGATGTGTAACACTAATTGAGAAACCACATATTTTAACTGCCATACTGCAGACATAGTAACTTCTCCAGCCTTACAACAGTTCTCTCTAATGTTACAGAAACAAGGCATTAACAGACATGCAAGGTGTTTTTTTTTTTAACTTACCGTTATGTCCCACCGGGTGGTGGAAGCATCACTCCCTTTCAAGAAGCTCCAAGGACCATAAATCCAACTGGTGGTCGCTGTATCTTACCCCACACGACCACATACAGTCCCAAAGCAGTGAAATTAATTCCAACAGGTAGTGTAGGGCTGACAATAACATCATGGATCGTTAGGTAGCCAAAACAAGCAGGTACTGCGCTCCGGGGCAATCCAGCGTTGATGAGCTGATCATTCACCACCCCATCGTGCTTCACTTGCTGGCTGCCTGTAGGTTTCCAGCTGCTCCGTTCACGCTGCGCTAACCCTGGTCAGGCATAACAGCGAGTCCCTGTACAGGAACATTCCTGCACATGCTGTAACCTCAGGCCCTGTGTTTTTCTCCACATTCTCTGGTCACAGTGCAGCAGAAGGAGGTAAAATATCTCCACAAAACCAGGCACAGTTGAAAAATTCCGCTTTTACAGTGTAGTGTGGCACTGTGGATGTCCTTTTGTAAGTTATTTTTAATTAATTTTTTTACATATGCTTTATTGGAAATGTACATAACAAGAAAGGCAATATAACATTTTGCAAATATGGTAGCAGCACTGGTGGATGTCAGGCAAGCTCACATGAACGAACACACAGTGGCCTGGATTTAATGCCCATTCAAGGAAATCCTTAACTATCATGTAATACTTAAGGTTCAAGGATTTTATTGTCAATTCACCATATGTGCAGGACATACAGAAAACTGAAATTCCGTTTCTCTCACCTAGTATTGGGTGCCATAACATTTAGGAACTAAAATAGAATAAAGTAGAATGAAAATAGAATAGAATAGATTAAGAACTGGATGAAGTAATTAGGATAAAGCCAATAAGCTGTGACTCAAAACCGTGTAGTCAGTGACAGTAGTGCAAAACAATAATAGGAGATTGTCAGATGGTTCAGCATCACCAGGGCATTGGTGATGAGGTGCAAATAGCATATGAGGTATACATGGACAGTATTGCAAATGACCAACAGCAGCAGATATCCCGGCAAAAAAAAAAAAAACGGCAGCAGATTTACATATAATTATAACAGAAGGTAAAACAGCAGAGGGTTTTTTTGTTGTTGTTGTTGTTTCCACAGCAGTCAGCAGCAGATTTACCTGTAATATAACAAAAAGTGGGAATGTATTGAGTTTGTACAACAGCAGGGGTAGTCTTTTTATGTTCTGTGGTGGGTTACGGTCCAGGGGCAGAGAGGGGAGGTAGTGAACAATGTTCAGCATCCTCACAGCCTGGTGAATGAAGCTGTTTGTAAGTCTGGTGGAGTGGGCCTGAAGAGTCCAATACCTTCTCCCTGAAGGCAGGAGTCTGAAGTGTGCAGGGTGGGAGGTGTCATCAGCAATGCTGATGGCTCTGTGGGTGAGGCGGGTGTTGAAGATGTCCGTAAGGGAAGGCAGAGGGGCACTGATGATCTTGCTGGATGTTTTCACTATTCGTTGCAGGGTCCTTCTGTAAGAGGCAGTACAGACTTCGTACCACACAGTGATGCAGCTCGTTGTTTTTTTTTTTTTACCCTCGGCAATCACATCACAACGTGGGTATTATTACAAGCAAAAACTACTGAGAATGACAATAGATGTTTGTAATATTTTGAAAACAGTTTGAAATCATTCAGTAGGTCATAATGAAATCAAAACATTTGCATTTGTTACATAAGTCTTTCTTCAAAAAAATAAAGGCAATCAAAAACTATCTCAAGATATATAGTAATACATGAGCCCCTTTTTGATATCACTTGTACAACTTTTTCATCCATTGAATTTTTAAGTTCATGTGAAGTTTCTGCCTGTATTGCATTTGAAGATGCCAGTATTGCCTCCCAGAATTGCTGCTTGGAGGTATACTGCTGCCCTCCCTCAGATCTTTATTTTAGGGATGCACCACAGGTTCTCAACTGGATTAAGGTCAGGTGATGATGGCGGCCACACCATGATTTTGTTCTCTTTTTATATCCATAGTAACCAAAGAGTCAGTGGTGTGTTTTTGCAATATGGGATGGGTCATTGTCCGGCATAAAAATATTTTTATTCCTAAAGGCACTTTTTTTTTTTTTTAATACCATGGGAAGAAATGGTCGGTTAGGAACTTGACGTATTTTGACACCCTCAGGCACCCACCATGTCACTTCCTAGTATTCAAGCCCAGATCATCACTCCACCTCCTCCTTGCTGATGTTGCGTTCTTGTTGGAACAAGGTGGCCACATTCACCAACCATCCTGAACTCCATCCATGCGGACTGTCCAGTGTAGTACAGCATTCATCAAGGAATAAAACAGTTTGATAATTAGCCTTCATTTATTTCTGAGCCCAGTGCAAACAGTTCTCTTTGTGAGTTTTAGTTAGCGGTGGCCGAAACACAGCTTTACGCACAGTTGCCAAGCGCTGGAGGATCTTGTATTGAGTAGTTCTTGATACTCCAGCAATTTCAAATACCTGTTTGCTGCTTAACAGTGGCTTTTTTTAGAGCTGCTGTTTTAATACTATTAATTTGTCTGACAGAAACTTTGCTTAATAATCCTTTATCTGACTGGATTTGTGTGTGCTCTGAATTTCTTACAAATCTTGAGATTTTGATCAAATGTTTTGTGAAATATCTAGTTTTTATGCCTTCTGCAGGGTATTTTACTATTTCATGCTTTTCACCTTCAGATAGATCTTTCTTCTCCATATTGCAGGAGAACTCAATAAAACAAGCACAAAGTTTCATAGAAAAACCAAAACTAAAATGCTTATCTAACTGAAATCCCATATGTCACTTGCATAATAGTTTGGAACTGTGTATTTGACAAATGAATTTAACAATTCAAAGTTGTTCAGTCTTCATATCTTTGTTGTTGTTTAAGCCATTGTTTAACTAGAAAAAACTCAGTCCTCATTATGTCTAGTGATAAAGCGTTTAATAATTGTGACCTTTTACTGAGAGCGGTGACTGACCAACAAAAATTCTGCACCTCTGAGCTCTATCATTTTCACTTGCTTGCTGGTCTTGACTCCTTCGGTAACAGATTTTGGGATCGATTGAGAAATTGCATGAGGAGCAAGGCCATTTATAAACTTGAATGTTTTAGTGAGTTAAGAACTTTATAAAATTCTGAAAACAGCTAAATTATATTTTTGAAGAATTTAAAAATGGTATCATTTCATTGGTCTTTGATCCATTATCTTTAAGAGCTGTGACAGCGGTTGGCCTTCAGTGTGTCTATGAGCATTTGTCGGGGTTCTACTTCAGCCGATTTGGCTTGTTGAATCACCATCGGCCCATTAGGCCTCATCGGTGAGAGAGAGAGGCCACTTTGATTGGCTGTTCGGCTTAGCCAGTCACTGCAGGAGAAGAGAACAGTTCAAGAAAGCCCCTTCAGTCTGTCGCTGTAGTATCCTTGATTTCACCCATTTGGTGTGGTTTCTCCTCTTTTTTTTTTTTTTTTTTTTTTTTGTGTCTCCACAACCCCCTTTCTTTTTCCACATCCACAAGACCAGTGTCATTCGCAGCTTCTTATCAGCCATATTCTCAATGAGAAGCAGCTATAAACAGCAGCTGTATTGAATGAGAGCTGCTTTGTTTATGCTTGTATTTCCACAGTCTAGCGCTTCTTTTTTCCCTTTCTGAATGGCAAATAAAGATACTACCACCTGATGGTAGGGGGAGTTTTTTCTCATGCAGGCACAGAATGTATGTACTAGACAGCTGTTGGCTGTAGTCTGTACAGTGTGTTTAAGGGCCACTTTTTCAACCTGACTGGCCCAGACAAAGGGTATGTGAATGGATGCAACAGTTGACCTAAGTCGCTGCTAGTTCTTTCATGTTGGCTTGGTGTGTCTCTGCTCTAATGGCATTATAGGCTTGATTGGTGATTTGGGAGGCCTGGCTCCAGGTGATGGCAGAGTATGTGACAGTGCAATATGTGTGATATTATAATATGATTAAACATTAGAGCTGCCTTGATTGCTAATCATGACCTTATCATACAAAAAGTTTAAATTTGTCTTGAAAGTCTTAGAACATGATATGGGCCTAGATAACAGCTCTGCAGTCTGACAAGGAGTTTCTGCTAGTATAAATGATTAGGGCTGGCGTTTGATAGCATTTTATCAAATCTGAATCCACTTCCAGATCCACTTACCGAATCTGTTCAAATCCCTTACTGAGTCTGATTGATGATAATCATAATAATACATTTATTTATAAACCACTTTTCAATTAGCTTAAGGAGTTTGTTAGTATAAAAAGATATATTTTAATTTCATGCACTATAGCAGCAAATTAACTATACTTTTTTTAAGCAAATTGTGTAATATTTATGAATCTAGCTTTTTCTAACTACAACAGGCCATTTTAGTTGTGATTATAGACCATTTACCAGAGTCTGACACTGACGCTAACTATAGTATGAACTAACAAACCATGGCCATTCTGCTGAGCTGAAGTGTTGTAATTGATTTTGTCACTGCTCTGTGACATTCACTAACCCTGTCCTCGCTCATGTTTCCATTGCTCCTCAGTGGGGGCTGTGCTGCAGCTGCAGAAGCTCACAACACTGATCTTATTAATTTCACAGCAGTGAAATTAATGCATCTAATTCATCATTCAGTGAATGTTAATTTAATAAATCACTGATGGTTCGCTGAACTTTGAATTTAGCTGGTTGTTGGACTGCTACACATCTGACAGATGACACTACACCAGTGGTAGACTGAGTGAGGTTAAAGAATGTAAACTAAACTGTGAACATGAATGACAGGTCGATAAGGGATTCATTTGACCATGAAGCTTATCAAACCCAGATATTTCACCTACTTGGAATGGGCTATTGGAACCGATCCCTATAAGTGACCATATCATCTATACATTTGACATCCACTCTTTTTTATAGCTTAAAGTGCCCATGGCATGCTCAGTTCCAGCCATTTAATGTTTAATCTTGGGTACCTCTAGATTAGCTTTACACCCATCATAACTTCAAATAGCCTGTAATTACACATTACTACATGAAACCGGGTTTTGAGCAGGGGAAACGCATCTCGATGGGGGAACACTTTTCAAGACAAGACCAATCAAGAAGCCAGGACAGCACATAAACAAAAAACATTATCAAGTAAGCTACATTTTCAACAGTAACAATGCCTCAAATCCTACCTGGCATGTTTGAGCCAGAATATGAAAGTGGACCTCAACACATCGAACTGCCACAGCATTAATTAATTTGAATGTCTCCTCCATAGATAGCTAAACAACAGTATAAGTACCAATGAAAAGAGATGTGTAACACTCTAAACAAAGCGGATAATTGACAAACCTGATATTTTAACTGGCATAATGCAGACAGTAACTTCTCCAGCCTTAAAACAATTCTCTCTAACCTTACAGAAACAACACACCAACAGCAGTGTAGTGTTTTTTTATATGTGTTTTGTTTTGTTTTACTTACTGTTGCGTCCCACTGAGTAATGGAAACGTCAAGGTTGGTACATCCCACCAGTGATTGCTGCGTTGTTAGATTCTGCCAACCAGCAACACATCACATGCGGCAAACACACTGGTCTCAAGCAGCTAAAACAAACAGGTACTGTGCTCTGGGGCAATCCAGCCTTGATGAGCTGATCATTCACCACCCCAGCGTGCTTCACTTGTCGGCTGCCTGTAGGTTTCCAGCTGCTCCGTTCACGCCACGTTAGACCCAGTTGGGTAAAACAGCAAGTCCCTGTACAGGAACATGCTGTAACCTCAGGCCCTGTATTTTTCTCCACATCAGGAGGAGGTAGAATATATCTGCAAAACACCATGCATTCGAAAATTTGGATGGCACCGGTGAATGTTAGGCAAGCTCACATGAAGGTGCACATCCAGGGCAGTATGACCATTCAAGGAACTCTGTAAACTATCATGTAAGACTTTACCTTGTTGGGGAAAAAAAATCTTGCCAGCGAGAGTTCACGAGACTTGTATTAACTGAGTTGCTTCTACATAGAAGTACAACATCATAGGTATACCTTGTTTTTTTTTTGTTTGTTTTTTAAGCTTTCAGCCACATTTAAGATACTAATTCATCTTTGTAACATTGTAGATACATCAAAAAACAGAAAAGCATGCGATGGGCACTTTAAACTTAAACTGCAGCTTCTTTTAGTACTTCAATTTTAACTTCTGTTTTAACTTTTGTCGGTATTTGTATATAATATTTTTCAAGAGAAAACTTCCAGCAGGAAGCACATATGTACATTTTCTCCAGAAAAGCCTCTTGTTGCCTCTGTTCTCTGATTAGTCAGCAGCTGACAGCTGTAGGTTGTACTACTATTGTTGTTGATGTAACAAATGTGAGGGGCTCTCACAGCATCTGCCTAGTGTTTTATAGCTATAAACGGAAAGCAGCAGGCTAAAATCTGCACATCATTAACTGTGCTTTCCCCTCTGACTGGTTACAGTGAACACAGGGATTGTAAACCACACCCACTCCAGGATGGGCTCCATCATGAGCACAGGAATTGTCCAGGGTAATGAAATCAGTTTGTGCTGCTAGAAATTTCCCATTCAAACGTACAGTGGGAAGCCTGAATGTTATTTTGTTCTTACTTCCAGGAGCCACTACAGGCCAGTCTGGTCCCAGCAGCAGTGGTACTTACTATCCCGTTACCAACCAGTTCACCATGGGGGGTGCTGCCATCTCCATGGCTTCACCTATGGTCATCCCCAGCAACACCATGCATTACGGCAGCTAAGACGAAGACCTCTTCAGCCTTCCCACCCCTGCATGACAGATCCCCAAGCCCTCTCAGTGGAGCTCTTCAGTCTGCTGGCCCCAACCCCCACCTCAATCCTTCAGTCCTGACTGACACATCATCTACAGCCAAAATCAATATACCAAAACCAGTGTTGTGCTGGCACTTCCTCCCTGTGCTCATCATTCAAATTCTACCCTGTTCGATCCAGCACTATAAGAATGATCAAGCTCTCTCTGATCCGTCCAGGCTGCTGTCTTGTCAACAGCTGCTATCTCCTTCACCTTTTCTCCCTCTTGGATTGACTGAGACTGTAAAAGGTGCACAGTTGAGATGCAGAATAGTTAGTCTGTCCCCTTCCTGGGTTTCCACCCTCTTTTGATTCAGTCCCTCCACTCCTTTTTCTCTTATGTGTCATGATGACCCGATAGTACGGTATTTGTCCAAACCCATCCTTCCCTAAAATCTACTTGTTGCCAGATACCAGCATCAGTCCGTCCCCACATTTCTGCACATCTCTGTGCCGCACCTACATGGAAGTTTTTCATCTGTATATTAGGACAATTTTGCCACCATCAACACTCCTCTCTGAGCTGCGACCTTGGCTTTTCATATCAGATCCAGTCTTCAAACCTCTCTGCACAAGAAACTGACTGCTGCCAGATAAAACAGGTCATTTTAAAGGATCAGTCCACACAAACCACAAAACATTTTTCCTGCTTACTCCTCCTATAGTTTGGTTTTTGATGGAAGTAAATGTATCAGAAAACTGAAGCTATCTACATGGCTAAACAGCCAAAGGAGTATGTGGAATATATACTCTTCTTATTTGGACAAACAAACCATCTATGCTCTGCTCATTATGCAATGTGTGGCTCTGCTTAAAAGCAGAACTACACAACCTCAGCTTTTGGGAGACTGGCATCCTGGTCACCTTCCATGCTGAGTCATGAAAAAATTGGCACCATAATCATGTGTGTGTGTGTCTGGAAATTAGATTGATGGGAGCAAACCAAAACCAGAATATAGTGAGCCACGTTAAAACAGCGAGCCAGAAGGAGCTGTAGAGCGATATAGATGCTATAAGACTTAAACTGAGGGCAGCATTTGCTGGTTCTCATTGGCTTTATCACCGCGAGTGACACTTGTCACATCACAAATGTTGTTTACATAAAAATATTAATGAATGCAGTTTTAAATATACTGGTACTTCTTACCCAGACCTGTGAGGTTAGCCTAGCATCATTTCAAGGCCAGAAATTGAGGTTATCTCAAATGATCTCCTTTAAAAGTGAAAATATCAATTTTCCAAAAACTCCAAAGCTGTCTCAACATAACATATCCTGTTTACTTAATAGTGAAAACAAAACTTAAAAACAAGACAGTGTTTTGGCGCTTTAGAGCTGGAGGCATTTCTTGACCAGCACTAGCTTGCTTCAGTGCCTGCATGCAGCAACACACGAGTTCTGTCCTTATACTTGTAATAGGGTTGCCAGGTTTAGCACCGTTCAGAGTGAACAAAAGCCCAGGTGACACTTTCATGTCTTACAACCAGTTTATTTGTATTGCATTTTGTCTGGTTTTTCGTAGAGCTAACAACTTTCTTGTCCTGCTAATAATCTTGAAATATCTCTGTATTGAACGCACTGATATTTATGTCTTTTAGTTATTTGACTATGGGGTTGATAGCAAACAAACACATTTCCTGAAATATTGGAAGTAGGGTTAAGGCCCCCAAATGATTCAAACGATATTGTATAACATGTAAAATCTAATCTAAGGGATCAGGTCTCCCTGATCTCCTTCCAAGAACTTTCTCTGTAGTCTCAACGTGATGAATTGTAACACTTTTAAAAGCACTGTTGCTGTTGTCCTTGGTTTTAGAGAAAAAGTGTCAGTAGTAACTGTGTAAGAAATGAAGAAAGAGAGCTTAAGAGAGATGTTCAGTCCCTGCTTCCACACTACTGGCAAGTTGGTGTGCAGGCATACTAGTCAGATTTTGTGTTTCAGAAAGTTAAAAAAAATTGTCAGACGCAGCTGCGTACAGCTGCCTTTAGCATTTGGCAATTCCAAGAGATGCCAATCAATTAGCAACCTGTGAGTGATGATGTTGTATTTTATAATACCAAGCATTGAAAGTGACCAGTGGGTTAAGTCTCCCAAAAATGTGTCTTTGTTGAAGCTACAGCAATGTAGTCTTGTAAACCTGAAACAAGCCTGCTGTTGCTCCCATTGCCCTCTTTCTTCACCTGGTACCTGGATTCTAACTGAGAGAACATTGCTACTGCAGCTCCTCCTCCTCAGCCAGTCATTTGTTGAGCCAGATTGTTCTGGTTTAGTTGGAGGAAGCAGATTTGGAGAAGGAACCTGAAAAGGACCAATATAACCCAGAGCAGCAGCCAGCTGGCTGTGAGAAGGACAAAAGATTCTCCTCCCAACCACCTCTGAGACTGTTGCAAAGTGACTTTATTGTCGAGGCATGTGAGACTGGCCTAGTCCACCCACTCCCCTCTTCATCTGTTCACTCTGTATAACCTCCAACATATCACGTCCCCAACACACCCAATGGCCTCTTCTCATGAGGAGGGAGAGAGACATGTATGCATTGCTTCCAGTGTCACAACTTTTGGACTTGGTTTATTTGGGATTTATAAGTTAGGAAGTTTTAAGAGAGATGAAAAAGTGTCTCTTTGTAGGATTAACCTTATTTTTTGTCTTTTTTTTTTCTTTCACAAACAAAATGAGTGCAAATTAAAAGGGGTGATATGTTACAAGAAGCTTTCTGGGATCAGGTGTTGTAGTACTTTAATTTGTTTCCTCTAGTTTCTTAAATAGGCCATGGGCATCTCAGATGTTTACCAGGTGGTAGCTATCCTATAGCGATCATGTCCCCTTTGTTATGCTCTGTGTAGTCAATCATGACATAGGAAGACTGTCATGTTCTGTTTTTTGTCTGTTGACCAATAACAACTTTCTCTCTGACATCGACTTTATTATATGTTAAAATTACAAATATTCAAATCAAACAGATTGGATGAGTAACAGTATAATATGAGTTCACGGTTACATGCTCTTGAAACAAAATTTGAACAGTGCTCAGGAGGTTCTACTAAATGCAAATCTCAGACTACATCTATATTAAACCAACAAATTTAAATGCCATTTACATGTGACAACAATTTGCATCCACTTCAGTGTTTTGTGGACATTTTTGTACAGATCTCTCTTAACAGTGAAACACCTGAACAGTATGAACATGGCCAGAGCTCTTGTTAAACTTATTTTCAGTTGACAATCAGCAGTGGTACAGCCAACATCTGACAAGGAGCGGCACATGACCCGAATATTATTTTATGGTCACGTGGGTGTCTCAGAAAAATCACCATAAACACAGGTTAATGACAGCAGCTGTGCTGTATGATCCACTATATCAGTGTTTAAAATGGGGGATTACACAGTTGACACAAGTTAGATGACAACATTAAATCAGTTTAAAGGCACCGGTTCTCTTGTGCATTTGGCTCTATTGGCATTTAAAATGAACAATCATGGAGATGCGGTCGCAAGAAAAAGTAAGGGCTCCATTTGCAATTTTTGGTTCTTCTGCATAAATTGGTTATGAAAGGTGATCTGAGCTTCAGCAAAATCACAAATAGCAACAGACATTATTTCTAAGTTGATAAACAATCATGAACTTTCATGTCTTTATTGAACACACCCATTGAACATACACAGTGATGGTGGAAAAAGTAATGTAAACTGGAGTCAGGTGTTAGCAAATCTGCCACTGTAATTGTTGATTTGCATGAAGTTGGAAAGGATTAGAGTCATATCAAAGACTTTAGATATTCATCAGTCCAAGTTATATTGTCTATAAATGGAGATGATTTGGTACTGTGGCTAGTTTCCATAGAAGTGGGCGCCCAACCAAGATCACTCCAAAGACATAACACAGAATGCTCAATGAGGTTAAAAAAAAAAAAAAAAAAAACCCAAAACAGTCCCCTAGAGTAGCAGCAAAAAACTTCAAGGATTCATTGGAGTTGGTTAACATCTCATCATTATGAGTCAACCATGTGCAAATATTGAACAGGCATAGAATCCACAGAGTAAGCCATTGCTCTCCAAATACCACATTGCATCAGGCCTGACGTTTGCCAGAGACCACCTTTACACTCCACAGCACTACTGGGAAAATGTCCTGTGGACAGATGAAACAAAGAACTGTTTCGAAAACACAGCACTACGTATAGCGTAAAAAGAGAACCATGTACCAACATGTAAACATCATCCCAACAGTGAGGTACAGTAGAGGGAGCATCATGATTTGGGGCTGCTTCTGGACCTAGACCATTTGCCATTGTGGAGGGGAAAATTAATCCCAATTGTATCAAGGTATCCTACAGGTTAACGTCAAGGTGACTATCCACAAGTTGAAGCTCAGTCGGACAATGACCCTAAACACTAAAGTAAATCTACTACTGAATGGCTTTGGGGAGAAAATCCACCTTTTGGAGTGGCCCAGACCTCAAGTCAATAGAGATGTGGTGGAATGACCTCAAGAGATCCGTTCACACTGGATATTCTAAGAATATGGCTGAGCTGACGCAATTCTGTGAGGAAGAAGGTTCCAAAATTCCTCCTGAAGGTCTAATTACTAATAGGTCTAATCCACAGCTACAGGAAGTGCTTGCTTGAGGTTTTCGCTACCAAAGGCGGTTGAACCAGCTATTAAAACACTTGCCATTACTTTTTCCACCATCACTTTGCATCTGTAATGGGTGTGGTCAATAAAGATGTGAAAGATCATGACTGTGTTTTATCATCTTAGAATTAGAGTTTTTGTTGATATTTGTGACTTTGGTGAAGATCAGATCACATTTCATGACTAATTTATGCAGAAAACCAGGAAATTGCAAACAGTGCCATTACTTTTTCTTGCTACTCTATGCAGAGGTGATTAGAGGGTGTCTTTTTAACTTGACTGCCACCCAGCTCCCAACTCACTGGCCTGGCTTATGTCATCATTTTACAAAAGCTCAATTTACCTCACACATACCTTACACACCAAGCCAGTGTTTTAACACCGAGACACTCTGGAGACTGTTTTTAACTGGATTAATGTAGACATACTGTAATGTCGGCTGGTTGAAGAAGGGTCAGAAGGCCAGAATTTGTCTTTTCATCAGCTCAGTGACAGTTTTTATTATTTAACATACTGGCGACAGCAGATGTGAATACAGGCACACAATCCCTGCTAACACTGAACTATATACAACCCCCTCTGGCATTATGGGAAGTCCCACCAGGTGCTTCTCTGCCACCCACTGCCACAGTACGTAGGGATCAGTGAATCAGGTGCACCCACATCTAGAGCACAGAAAGGCACCGGTTTGGCCAAGGCTTGAACGTTTATATCTATTCATAGTTTGACCACCAGTGTCACACATGGCATGCACTTTTAGGATAAAATGGTAACTATACAATGCCAAAATGGTATAATGGGTCTATAACCATGCTAGCAGCTCTGTGAGTATGTAATGTAATGTGTAGTAGGTCATGCTTTCCATGGTCACCATAGCTCAGCATGCACTTAGTATGTGAATATATGCTAATTAGCTAGTAAGTGGCCTACAGCTGAGACTGATTGGAAGGTTTAGTATAGCGCATAGTGGACAAATCAAAAATTTGGCCTGTGAGACTAGAGAAGAAGTAGGAGACATTTTGTTTTGATGCATACAATTGCTACTCACAGACCAATTGCATTTTTGTAGTTTTATTTTTGTGCTTTTACATCTTTTTCTTCTTTAGTTCAATTATCAACAATCTGACTTCATACATACACTTTCTTCTTTCACCAGTAGATGTCCTCTTAGGATCAGATATGGCCTGACATATTCCCTGGCTCTTTTTTCTAAGTCTAACCAGGATAACACCTAACCATTCACATTGACTTTTAAACAACACTTACAAGTCAGAGTCCCTCATCCAAAATTCAAATGAAGTAAAAGTATGCCAGTCTGAACATTAAAGTATAAAAAGTAAATATACTCATTTTACTCAAGGGCCCATTTCAGCATCATCTTAATATTTGCTCATTATGTTACAATTATTGTTGCATGAATTTATGCCGGTTTACTGATGCAGTTAGTGAAGGTGGTAAAGGATTACTTGACAATGCTTGACAGGCTGCTTGGTAGCCTAATATATCATCATTTATTATCGTATCGTATTTATACCTCTGCACCAGTGATAGCCGTGACTGGAGGCATAATGTTTTCAGGTCTGCCCATCCCATTCCTGAGAACATGACATCTCAGAAAGTCCTTGAGGGAATGTCTTCAAATTTGGCACAAACATCCACTTAGATTCAATGATGAGCAGATTAGATTTTGGTGGTCAAAGGCCAGCTGTCCCATTCCCATAAATTTGGTTGGAGGAGGTATACAACCACAAAGCAGTAATTGTAGTTTGTATTCATAATCTGCATCTGAAAGGTAGCTAGTAACTTACTAAGGCTGTAGTCAAATAAGTGATGTGCAGTGAAAATACATTTCCTTGTAACATGTACTGTATTACAGTAGCAAAACATGGAATTACTCAAGTAAACTACCTAAACGTATAGTATACTTCAGGAATTTTACTTTCCACCATTAATTTGTCTGTGTGATCCCCGGTGGTCAATCAGCAGGCCTTTCCTTAACAACAACCCTAGCCCTGAATCCAACCCCATCATCTAACCTCCTATAAACCCAACCCCAACTCTGGTGCCTTTCTCTGGACTGTCCCAGCATTGCTCTGTGATTGTTTGCTACAGGAGCACTTTTCTACAAACTGCAGACTGGAACTCCCTTTAATAACAGTCATATCTCAAGTTTGTAGGGATCTGAGATCCTGATGCATACATCAGCTCACAGGCTAAAATATAAGATGCCTATCAGGACGGTTGTATGTATCATTCTCAAGTTACTTTTCAATAGTCGAAATAGCTGGAGATTTTTAACTGTTGCCGATCTACCCTCTGACATGCACAAGTTTTCAGCTATCTAGGCCCGTCAGAGCACAAGAAATAAGGGAAGTGTTTGGGGGTGACAGGGAGATGTCTAATCCTTCATGCATCTAATCATGATTATCATCCATTATCCCTAAGCATAAACATAACCTCCGAACCCTAACCTACAAGCACTCAGATGTAGAGTGGAATGCAGAATATTCATGTGTGCTTAGGGGAGATACTACTAGTAATGTTAGGTTGCTAGGATACAATGGCAGGCTGGAGTGAGGTGGAGGGGGAAAGGGTGATGGGTGTGGGTGTGTGGGTGTGTGTGTGTGTGTGTGTGTGTGTGTGTGTGTGGGGAGGGGGAGAAGCCGAATCAGATGGGGCTAGTGGTGGGGGGGGGAAAAAGCCGAATCAGATGGTGCTGCCATTGAATGCTTATCAGACATCTTGGAAAGAGAGAAAGGAGTTTTACAGAAGGAGGCAGGAAATCAAGAAAACAAAAAGATAGAGGAAATACAGAGGAGACAGAAAACCATGAGGAAAGGAAAGACAGGCAGATGGAGGAAGGTTGTGAAAATTTCTCCCGATAGAGGAGGAGTATAGGCGATAAAGGAATTAAGGACAAGAGTGTGTGTGTGTAAAGCTGGGGGTGTGTGGAAAACTCCTGGGAGTGACAGGGGAAGTGAAATGTGGGAGGACAGGAGATGAAAAAGCAAGAAGCAACTGTGTACAGGGACAGGAAGACACAATACATGAGCAAAAGTATGTGCACACCAGAATATTTATACACTTTGTTATGGATGAACAGGTCCTTCTAAAATCACTGGCATTAATGTGCTATCATATTTTACAACCTTATTCTGGTAAAGCTTTTCTAAAGATGAATTGTCTATGTACACTAACATTAGTCATGGAGTGCCACACAGTTCTGTGCTAGGTCCAGTTCTCTTTGCTTTATACATGCTTCTCTTAGGCAATATTATTAGAAAACATAGTATAAACTTCCACTGCATGATACTCAGCTATATTTATCTATGAACCCAGATGAAACAAATCAGCTGGTCAAACTTCGTGGCATGTCTTAAAGACATAAAGGCCTGGATGACCTGTAATGTTTTTACGCCTAAACTCAGACACAACCGAAGTTACTCTAGATGGCATAGCCCTGGCCTCCAGTACTACTGTGAGGTACCTTGGAGTTAATTTCGACCAGGATATGTACTTTAAATCACACATAAACTAGGTTTCTAGAACTGCCTTCTTTCACTTGAGTATATAATTCACTTTCAGCTGTTCCCATCAGGGGTCGCCACAGCAAATCATCACACTGACAACTGACAGCAATATAGCAGCAATATCAACACCAAAACAAATGCTGTCCAACAACTATTATATGCTTGTTCAAAATAGGGAGTATGTGCAACACTGTCTAATGCAAACACACACAAAGCTGTGCTGCTACATTACTGTAACTTGCAACTCATTAACAGCTAGAAAATACTGTACTTACCTATTTGAATGACATTCTGCTGGCCTTGTGCTATGCAAGATTCTCCATGATTTGCATTGGTCAAATTTATTGGTTTTATTACGTTCAACTGTAGAAAGGTCCAGGCTATGGCTCAGTGGTAATGAAGGAGGGACCGCTGTGCTGCTAGCCAGGGTGTCCTTTTTGTTTTCAGCTAAAGTTAGCTCATCTTTGCCTGCATGTGTTGATAACAATGCAGAACAAACCAAAAAAGAATCCAGTTTCTTCAGTTTTGAAACTTTATACTCTGAATCTTGCTTCCCTTTTCTCTTTGAGCACTACTCTTGCCTTTGTATGTCTATGGCATTTTCAATGAACAGACTAAGTGTTTTTCTGAAGCTAGCTGAGGTTCTACAGTAGTGAATGCTGGGAGGGTGTGTTTGATGCACCGTGGGTGGTGCAAATGCAGCTATAACCTATGGGGAAATAAAATAACAATAATCTTAATGGTAGCACATAATTAGTCCTTCAACTGACTTAGCACTGTAAAGTACATTGTAGGTTTTTTCAGGTTGCCTACAGCTGAAGTTGGACCTCTGTGTTTAGCTCCAAACTGCTGATAATACACTGATAACGATAAACCTAGCATCAGTCATTTCCTTTGCTGTTCACTCTTTTTCAAGATGATACATAGATGGTTGGAACCAGTCCCAGTATTCACTGACAGTACAATTCAGTGGTCCAAATGGACAGTGACAACTGGGAATCCACTTGTGTACAGTATAGGTAATTTTATATTAATATGTTGCAAACTAAACTTAAGAGTCAAACTCTATATGTATGCTGCACACCTGAAAGTGTCATTTTTAATGGAAATTTCACTATCTGTGTCTTTAATACTGTGGCATTCCAGAAGGGTAAGTGTAAATTAGTAGTATTCCCCCCCCCCCAAACATGCACTGGAGCAACAGGTTTATAGACAGTCTCCACATTTGGGAGAAAGTCATTGTTTTGCAAGTCTCAAATCTTGACTACAAAGTCAAGTAAAAGCTGGGATTCAGTAGTATTATATAAAATATGAATCTGGTTTTGAATCCCTTACTAAATTTCTATTCAACTTTCAACATTTGTATCAAAAATTAAAAATAACTAAAACAAAGATTTAACTGAGATATGTATTTTTTGTTGTTTGAGAAGACAGAAAGAAACACTGCAGTGTTGAGTGACAACACAGTTCATCTCTGAAAATGAGAACAACAAAAGATATTAAATACATACTGTATATGACATTTTAAAACAACTACAGACATTTACAAATTT